AAAAAAAAAAAACTGCCTTTGATTTACAGCCCCCGATTCTGCCTCCACAACAATCCCGAATTCTTTCCTGGATAAAGCAGTCTTAGCCTAGCTCTAGACCCGGCTCATCACTGAAACTGCTGACCTGGCTCATAGACGCTGTCTCTTCCATTTGAGGATGCGGTCACAGAGAGCGGCAATCCCCCTGTGGACTCCAGCCCGGACCACACCACCTACACAACTTGGCTTTCACTGCGACCTTGACTTGAGCAACCGCGCACTTACCTCAGCCCCCAGAGACCGCCAGCGCCCACATGTGAAGGCTGCGGTTATAATTAACTCTGAGCAGCACCCACCGCAGTGACCTTGCCCTGCTCTCCCGTCCACAAGAGGAGCTGACCCCTACTTGCCCCCTCACCCGGGACACATCCTGTGAACCTGCAGCATTTCCAAAGATGTTTACTGTTTTGGAATTCTGCAGACTCAGTGAGATGGTGGTTTCTCTGAAGTATCTTAGTTCAATATGAAAACTGGTGCATGGCAAATCTAAGAAAATATCTCCTTTGGAGTTGGTGTTAGTTTCCTTTCACTGCTGTAACAAATTTCCATAAACTTAAAACAGCACAAATTTATTCTCTTATAGTCCTAGAGGTCAGAAGTCTGAAATGAGTCATATGGGGCTGACATGAAGGTGTTGGCAGGGCTCGTTCCTTGAGGAGGCTCCAGAGCAGAATCTGCTCCTGGCCGTTTTCAGAGTCTTGTGGCTGCCTGTGTGCCGTGGCTTCCGAGCCCTTCCTCATCTTCAAAGCACATGACTCCAGCCTCTGTTCCAGTCATCGCGTTTCTCTCCTCTGGCCTTCTACGTGCCTCTTAGAAGGGGTAATCCAGGGTAATCTCCCATCTCTAGAGCCTTAATTCAGTCACACCTGCAAAGTCCCTTTTGCCATGTAAGGCAACATTCACAGGCACTCAGGATTAGAACATGGACATATTTGGGGCCATTATTCAGCCTCCCACAGAGTCCTTCTTTAAACAAGTCTTAGGCATTAAAAACATTAACTTCACAAACAGTGTATTGACGATAACACACTCTCATCCCCTGAGATGTCTGATGCAGAAGGCCTGTGCCCTGCCAAAAAGGGGTCAGGAGCGGGCACCATGTGTGGGGGCTGCCAGGCCTTCAGTGCTGTCCAGGCTTCTGACATCAACCAGAGGAGAGAATTTGAAACAAGTCAACTCTGCAGAGTGGTAGGGCCCCTGCCTCCAGTGTGCCCCACTGCACCTTCTGATTTGGGCCACAAGGCCATGCATCTCTACAGTTTTAAGGTCCAGAAGCAGGGTCCCCTCTGGCCACCCATCTTCACCCATCCCTGGCTCTGTGGCCTTCACAAGCACATCAGTTCTGGGGCCTTCCCAGGTGTGGGGGCAGAGTCTTTCCCAAACAGAGCTTGGCACTGGCTTCAGAGTGAGCCCTGGCTCGAGGGGGGCAGAGAGAAGGCTGCGCCTGGAGCACTTCTGATAGCCGATAAGTGCAGAGCCTCCTGAGCCCAGAGAAGGATATGTGAAGGACATACTAAAAATTGATTATAATCACATCTAGTTATGGAGAATCAGATACAGAAGGGCTTTCTGCAGTCACTCAAGCTGTCTCTCTGATTTCCCATTTCAGTAAGTGGATGGTCCGGTGCTGCTCAGGGCTTGAGCCAAGGTCTGCAGGTGAGGCAGGAGGAGAATGGGGCCCGTGACCGGCACTGGGGGCTCTTTCTGCTAGCCACCAGATTGGGGNGCAGAGTCTTTCCCAAACAGAGCTTGGCACTGGCTTCAGAGTGAGCCCTGGCTCGAGGGGGGCAGAGAGAAGGCTGCGCCTGGAGCACTTCTGATAGCCGATAAGTGCAGAGCCTCCTGAGCCCAGAGAAGGATATGTGAAGGACATACTAAAAATTGATTATAATCACATCTAGTTATGGAGAATCAGATACAGAAGGGCTTTCTGCAGTCACTCAAGCTGTCTCTCTGATTTCCCATTTCAGTAAGTGGATGGTCCGGTGCTGCTCAGGGCTTGAGCCAAGGTCTGCAGGTGAGGCAGGCAGAGTCTTTCCCAAACAGAGCTTGGCACTGGCTTCAGAGTGAGCCCTGGCTCGAGGGGGCCAGAGAGAAGGCTGCGCCTGGAGCACCTCTGATAGCCGATAAGTGCAGAGCCTCCTGAGCCCAGAGAAGGATATGTGAAGGACATACTAAAAATTGATTATAATCACATCTACTTATGGAGAATCAGATACAGAAGGGCTTTCTGCAGTCACTCAAGCTGTCTCTCTGATTTCCCATTTCAGTAAGTGGATGGTCTGGTGCTGCTCAGGGCTTGAGCCAAGGTCTGCAGGTGAGGCAGGAGGAGAATGGGGCCCGTGACCGGCACTGGGGGCTCTTTCTGCTAGCCACCAGATTGGGGATCTGTGGCTGAGTGAGCGCTGGGAGCCGGGTCCTTTCCCAAGAAAGCTGCCCTCTGCATAATGCTTCCATCCTGTGACTGAGGACCATGCCCCATGAAGCGTGAGACCTGTCTTTCCAGAACCTCTTTCCTCTCCACATACCCTTGACTCTGACCATGAGGGTTGAGCGATATCTTCTTATCTCCGGTTAGAGGTCCTCTCTGGCAACAGTGTGGGAGTGTGCTGCCCTGATCTCTTTTCAAGAGAGCCCACTGCAAGGACAGAAGTGGGCAGATGGCCTTCAATGGTCGCACCTTCAGGACCCACCTGTGTTTTCTCCAAGGTCATGCTCTCCTTGTGCTCTGCCCAGTGACTGAGCATGGCACAGGTACTAGAGTCAGGCCATTCCTGCCCCATGCGAGACTATCCTTAGTG